GTCACATCAGCACCAACCCTTGGGTCAGTCAGATGAGACTAACGGCTTCACTTAGGGCATTTGGTTCAGATACATGACTCTCGTTACCGCAGGTTGTTTTTAAGGCTATTCATACTGCTATGCAGAGGATGCCTGTAAGTTGGCGAGCTGGTAAAAGCCCCTACTATTGTTTCAAATAGGCCTAATGTCAGGGGTCTCTTAATGTCTAGTTCTACATGTATTCACATTATATAGACAATGTTTCCACCTGGTAAAACTAAAGGCTGCACGAAACTCAGGCTACAATACAACCATTCTGTTCTGCTCTAACGATTCAATATATAGATTCTACATCAAAACAATTAGCTTTTATTGTTTCCAATGATAACGTCACCTTCAGTGGAGGAATGCAAACCTGTTTTCAAATGTAAGGTTTTGATTTTGTTTGACATTTCTTAGTAAGGACACCCTCAGACACCCAATATCATTCATGCTATGCCTTCAGTAATAACTCAGATGTTAAAGGGATGAAACTTTTCCTCCCAAATCAGATATGCTTTGTTTATCAACAAATGTATCAATTTCCTGCATAATATATGTTTCTCACAATGGTTTTTGTAAGCTGCACACAGGTGATACTGAGTCTTCTCGATTAATAGATTATAAACTATACCATGCTTAAATAGACTCCTAAGTTATTATTTCATATGTACCATATGTAAGAAAAGGGAGGGAAGAGTCAATTATATTGAGTAATTTATTTTATATTGGGTAATTTATTTCTCAAACCTATGTTTTATGGAAGAGACAAAATATTTCTGATAAACTAATATGTTATCAAAAAGTAAATGGTGAATTAATATACATTTAGAATCATTGAGAAGGGGTTATATCCACAGGGACAAGCTCACCTTTAACTTACAATAACATTTCTCTGCTATGGACTGATGAGTATATGATTCTTGCATGTTAAATGACTAACACAAACCTTCAAAATGATTATGTGCATGTGTCAGGAAGGCTCCCAAATAATTCTGAGGGGCCTATCCTATTTTTGTAATTAAATGATAATGTGCTAATCCATTACTTTGAGTTGTCTTCACTCAGAAAAACATCCCTATCAGGTGTTAACCCAATAACTAGGACAGCTCTCAAGGCCAAGGGTCAGAGAGAGAGGGTCACACTCTCCGGGTGCAGAGAGCACCCCCAGCCACGTGCAAGGAAGCACGAGGTCGTTCGAGATGGGATGCTTCTCTTCACCTTTCTGATAAGATGGGATGCTTCTCTTCACCTTTCTGATAAGAGGGGGTTCTTCTCTTCATCTTTCTGCTCGGTGGGCTCTAGCAGACAACCCTGCAGGACGAGTGAGGGTTTCAGAGGCTTCTATAATACAAGGTTCCATGTTTCTTGGAGGAGTTTGATGTCTTCCTAACCTCTCCCATCACGGGGGGGACACCTGGATGCATCAGGAATACGCAGTTGTACTCAAGCAGATAGCAGAAGGAATACCGGCAGATGAGCCTCCGTCTCACTGGGGGATTAACTACAGTGCTCACTGAATGAGCCACACAAAAGCAGAGCAATTGGGGGGTTGAAGTATGGCGCTCTGATGAAGAAGAGTTTGAGCCAATCAGCACCTCAGTGCTAATCTACAGTATCAGGATGCCTTTACACACCAGACACTCGGTGTCATAAAGGGAGGAGGAGAACGAGTCAGGAAGACTGACGGACATGTTCTTCCAGCTCTCGTACAAAGATGAACTTTGAATTGAATGACCAGATGTTTAAAGATGTACAATTAATGATTGGTTTTTATATTTCCAATGACCAGACATGTGTTAAATAGTGGTGATAAATATATTTTGTCAGATCAGATTACACTTTCACACTAAACAAAATAAATAAATATTTTCAGATTATAAGGTATTGAATAATAAGGTATTTCTAATATTATAACAGATAATGTTAATATCCTTAATCATCTAGCAATCAGGCTTAACAACACTACTCTTTAATGTATTGTCCATGAACAGACAGACCTAAAATGATGTTTCAAGTACTGGATTAATTTCAGTTTTGGCCCAAAACAAATATTTATAATAATTCATATAACAATTATGTAGCATATTTGATCCTCAAATTAGAGAAGTATAATTTAAAGAAATTGATATTCTATATTCAACATTAGATAAACACAGAAGAACCCTTTCCAAGTACCATAATTAGATTTTCAGGTAAGTATGACTAATAAGAATAATTGAAAGACTTCATTTGGTACAGATCAGTTGTAGCATTTACAAATGTATGAATTAAAGTTTTAAGAATGTTTAATCTTTCCTTTCCAGGTTTTTACAAAAGTCTTTGAATATTTGCCTAACTTTTCCTTTTCAGATTTTGAACAATGTACTTGACTAAAATGAATGTATTGATTTTACTAAGACTGAGTGCCTTACTCTTGGCTAAAGCGTAATGAAGTAAACGTAAAGTAATCCTAAAATTGAGGACACTGCAATTTAGCAGATTACAGATTGATCAAATCACCACTGTGAATTTTATGCCTTAGCTGGATCTCTTATGATCCTAAGTTTTAAATGATTTTGACTAGTGATTGCCTTAAAGCAAATCTTTAAGCTGCAAGCTGGTTTTGATTTTATAGTTTGATAAATGACATTAACTAATGGTTTAAATGATAAAAGATATTAGTTTAAAACAAATATTTTGCTATTATGTATCTGTGTTTTATGTGTGTTCATTATTGTACTTATTGACAAAAGATGCTCCAAACACTGATGAGAGATAATTTTTCCTATTATGATTGCCTGTATCGATCATTGTGATTGAATGTTTCAATCTTATTCTACTTTGTGATGTAATTGAATGTAAGGTGAGACCACACTCGAATCTGAAGATGCCTATTGATTTAAGTATTGACCAGAATTATTATTAGACTAATGTTTTAAGGTTATCAAAAATGATAAAAAGAGAGGAACTGTTAAGGAATAATTCTTCTAGATATCTAACCTTTTGCTCTGTGACGTTTTATGATCTACTCTGACGTCTGTTATCTCCTTTAAGGAAAGGCCTTGGTGCCATATGTGTTGTTGTCATCAGTTTGTGACCGGTCAACTTGTCTGGCACGAAGGGTAATTGTTGTGAGAACGCTGAGGCACTTCTTTATCGGTGTTTGTGGACTCTAAGATGTGAAATCCTTGAGGCCATGAGTGTCGGACGCAGGTGGCTCAGTGTTCCCAGCTGTTTAGTCTACTCCTTCAGAGATGTTGATTTCTCTCTGTGAACCAGTTAAAAGGTCTAGCATAGAGAGAGGCTCTTCAGAATTGACGTGGCAACTCTACCGTGTAGTCAGAACCTCTGACTCTTTGATTTGTGATGTGAATCCTCCGGCCGAATACTCTGAATAAACCCATCAGTGTTTGACATCAAAGCTCCAACTCTCACCGTGTCTCCTTCCTGAGTCGGTGACTCCATGCATTGCTACACAGAAGTTTCCTCCACAAAAGGCATTGTACAGTATGAAATATTATCGGATATAACATTTATTATAATTTGAAATGGAGCCTATAAGTACAGTTGGTGTAATACAGCAATAATGCATACAATGTAATGCAGTATAAAAGTGTTCAATTCAAGCTTTAAATGTCTGGGTGTAAACAGGGGCAGGAGGAAGCGACCAAGTGACAGTGACAGAAAATAACAATTTATTTATATCTTGTACATCAGTGGTCAAACTGCCTTTGAAAATGAATGTCACACTGAATGACCTGGGGCCTGATGCATGATGCTGCTTATGTATCCCGACCCCCAACAACACACACACATTCAGGACCCAATAATAGACTGGGGCACTGGACTGTTTTTCTAATTGGTGTGTATTGATGAGACTGCCGCTGGTGTCGCTCACCTTGCTCCAAGTTTCCTTAATACACACATTTTCAAACTCACCTTATTAAGCACAACAATTTTACAAGGAGGAATAGTCTCTTTTTTATTAGAAACTCAAGTGTTATGTACAATCAAACAGCAACACAGTGAACCGAAATCACATTTATGATAATAAAGAAACAATTTGTCTGTTGACAAAAAATCAGTTGTAGCCATCTTCAATAATAATTTAGTAATTTATCAGTGAGAAATGTGTTCAATGGTGCAACTTTTTTACAAAGACACAGACAGATAAATTCAAATGGAATTAGTTGAGTCAAAAGTATTAGTGCTCTACGGAGCCCCTAAAGGTTCTACACACATATATGGAAAGCCAAGTGAGCCACTATTCGCCCGTTTATTTAGCCTGTTTATTTTGTAAAAACGCGCGAATATACGCACGAATAGTGGCACACTTGGCTTTCCATACAGCTCTTTGCGTGCTGGTGCTGCACTAGAAAGTATGTTGTGCGAACGAGATACTTTCTCTCTCTTTTTTTTCCCAATGAACCTTTAGGGGCTCCGTAGTGCTCTTAAAATACTAGACTATGAAAATGTCGTCAGATATGTGTAAAAAAAAAACAATAGAGAGATAATATTCTGTATTTTAATCATTATATCATAAAAACCTGAACATTGGGTTTATTAAAACAGAAAAAAAACATTTCATGACATGTATCCTCTACATTTCTGACTAATGGAGAGAGCACATCTTGTAGTCTGAATGCTTGTAAATCTGTGAGTTAATTTGCCTCGGGCTGAACTTTTCCAGAGTGAATACAAATGTCTGACACATGAAAGGGATGAAAGAAACCAAGGCGGAACTGAGATGCATCAAAGTAAACACACCCAACACACACGCACACCCCCCCCCCCCCCCCCCCACACACACACACACACACACACACACACACACACACACACACACACACACACACACACACACACACACACACACACACACCACACACACACACACACACACACACACACACACACACACACACACACACACACACACACACACACACACACACACACACACACACACACACACACACACACACACATATATATTCAAACACTGATTAATGCACACACAATTTTAAAATAGTTTTAAAATTATATATTGAATTTGTTATGTTCTATGTTCAAACATGAATTTATCCTAAGAAATGAATATATACAGTTATCATATATTTAAGTTATACACAGTTACCATAACATTTGGCATACAAGTTAATGCAAAACAAATCTAGTTATTGTGCCTTTTCTTTAATATGTACATCTTTATTTCCTTTAGAAAGGTTCTTGTTTTATCAAGTCAAATGTCAGTCATAATTCATTCAGTAGCTGCAACATATGCATCAAACGTACCTGTGTAAAAGGTTACATATTTGTTGCAGTAACAACACAAAGTAGACCATTAAAATAGGCCTCCGTCCATAGCATTTTCCACTTTAACGCTAAACGTAAGAGTACCTTTTCTGTTAACTCTTTATTTTCACATAGTCACAACATCATGTAAACTGTGTTGGCTAAGTCCAGCATCATCAAGCTCTTTGTCAGATGTCCAGCTGAAAGCTTGGGCCTGGTTCAGGGTCAAGCTGAGGTCAAAGGTCACCATACTCTGCAAGACTTTGCACCTCTGTTCATTACTGATGGCTCGGGGCATTTGAACGCTTTCCGAAACTCCTCAAAGTTACTCATTGCTCCGATTACCCTGCAGGGCAACAGCGAAAAATTGTCAGGTTTTAAGGATTGTGTGTGCATTAATCAGTGTTTGAATATGTGTGTGTGTGTGTGTGTGTGTGTGTGTGTGTGTGTGTGTGTGTGTGTGTGTGTGTGTGTGTGTGTGTGTGTGTGTGTGTGTGTGTGTGTGTGTGTGTGTGTGTGTGTGTGTGTGTGTGTGCTCACCTGTATTTTGGTGGACTGTGAGAACCAGTCTGAATCTGGTCCCTGGCTGTTTCTGGTCTGTATGAGTTACATCTCACCTACAGAAAACATTGTATTATTTCATATTCTATGTGTACTTCACTTTCCGCACCAGAAGTCTTATTGTTCATACATGTGCGTAGCTCAGGAAAAACAGTTGGTTGTTGTTCAGTCCGACTCCAGGCAGCAGAGGCTCCTCTTCACCCCCTCTGTTCTCATCCACCCAGCGCCTGTACGCCTGCACACAAATATAAAGACATTTCCTCTCCTGGGCTTCTTAACATGACATGAGAATTTGTAATGAATACTTTCTTGATAAGGATATTTTGAGGTGTCAAAAACAGGCAGTTCTGTATCCTTAACTTAATATCACAATAATGAGATTTTTAGATTGTTAATGTTGTAGGACTATAGTATTTTACTCTTTACAGATGATTAGGGTTAGGGTTAGGACTTTCTTTCTTTACTTTTTGTAAATATATGTTGATGTATATGTGGGAGGATTTTTGCTTTTCTTACACAAGACCACGAAAGTGTATCACATGTTTTAAATACAAAATTCTAATATGATTTTGAGCGAATGTAATAAGTGACTGTACATCAAAGAATACAGTTAGCCAATATAAAACACATACTAAATTAATAATAAGCAAAAACAAATAAAAGCTTCAGCCTCAAGTTAATGGTATTCATCCAGGATTACTAGCACACTTTAATGCAATACAACCTAAATGACAGCTATAGTTTTCCATAGAAAAGAACAAAATGTTCGAAATAACAAAACATTTTTTTTAAAGGTCCCCTATTATACTATTTTTCAACAATATATTATAGGTCTCAGATATATACAAAACATGTCTCTGAAGAGTTTGGCTCGAAATACCAACAGATCACCCATTGTAGCATCCCATAATCCCCTCTGTTTCAGCCCTGTTTCAAAAGTGCTGGTTCTCTGAAGGCTTCTCAATTCTCTAATTTCCCCTCCTCGACTCCTCGAATCCGCGGCCCTCCGGTAGTGACCCGGAAATGGATTTCAGCGTGCCATGTTGATGGACATCTCATTTCTCTAAATGCACATCGAGGACCGAGCATCGAGCATCGAGCATCGAGCATCGAGCATCGAGGAGGCTCTCTGGAGGAGCTATAACCGAAGATACACTGATGGTTCCTCCACGGCTCCTCCGCGGATGTATTTCCGGCAACAGTGATGTTTCAAAGAGTCGTGATGCACGGCCGGACTTATCTCAGCCAATGACAGCTCTGCATGCATCCCCTGGATATTATTTTATTAACTGTTTTCATCGCGACGCGATGTTTCCAGTGAGAACAGCTGTGAGGTCCGTGCAGAAAGCAGAGCAGTGTGTATAATATATATCACTCAGTATAACAGGCCTACATTACTCTCTTTATTTGTATGCTTTAGTTTAGCAGATATCTACAAACAAAGAGTCGATATTTTTCTAAAACCATTTAGTGCTTCACATAATAAAATACACAACGGCTGTATCCTGATATATATGATATGCTTTAGGAGCTGTAGGTGTGTGTTGTAGCCTACTGTGTGTAGGTGCGTGTTGTACAGTGCGTAGATGCGGCGGACAAACAGGTCTCATTTGGTTTGGTGTCCTATGCTTACTTTTAATACTTGTAAATAAAACTTTTGGCCCGTAATTTCAATTCCCCATTTCAGCGACCAGAGAGGGGGGGATATCCAGTCTGTATATGTCCACATCTGTAGCCTGTTATTGTCTCATTATACCGCACTGTGAATGAATTAAAAGTAAATATATAAGTCGTCATGAACACATCTGTCCATCAGACAGAGGGCTGCTGTGCCTCCTGTCATCATTAATGGACGTCTCTTTAAAATAAGCGCCCAGAGGAGAGGATTTCTCATTACGCCTGCTGCTTCCACTCCTCTCTCCTCGGTTCCCCTCCTCGGCTCCTCCGCTCGCATCTCCTGTGGGCGGGACTAAGACATGAGGATAGGAGTCGAGGAGGGGAGTCGAGGAGGGGAAATTAGAGAATTGAGAAGCCTGTTACTTTAGATGAAAATAAGGTGCCACTCCCCACGCCCCTCTGCGAGATATTTGGTTAAAAATAAGACAATGGTGCTTTAGGAGGAGATTCAGGTGATAAGGTTACCTTGGTTGGTTATTGGTTAATGGTTACACAAGCCAACAAATCGTTATGACATCATAAAGTGTCCAAAATCTGATCAGCTAATTTTCAGACAGGTTTTTATACAAATGGATCAGGACAAAAAGTGAGCGAATCTTTTTTCCTGAAACTTTCAGAATGTCTTTACAGAAAGGGGACACATGTTTATGTATAAAAGACATGAAGAAGTGTATTTTGCATAATAGGTCCCCTTTAAGAGAAGCGCATGAGTGTAAGGAAACAAATCCTACCCTAAAAGACTCCCTCATTCCTCCATTGTCTGCTATGTTTTCTGCCAGAGTCCTCTTGCCCCGCACCTGCACAACAAAACATCCACAATGCACTGATTTTCATGTCTTTATCCTTCTCCAAGTGATTACAAAAGTTACAATCATTAAAGTAAATTCAAATCAGGACTCTCAACTGTATGCAATGCTGACTAATAAACTCAATTAATATGCCACAATTAAAATTCAAAAGACACTGAATACACATACTCAACAGAGCCTGTAAAGTGTCAAACTGCATTAGGCAAGAATATTTTTTACATTGTCATTATTTAAAAAAAGTTACTTAGTAGCTTATTTTACTGTTGTAAAGTCAAAATCTTACATCAAGTCCTGCCTCCTTCCAATGGTAGGCATTATACTGTTCAATCATACACTGGCTCTGCTCATTGAAGGCATCTATAGACGAGTTGCTCCACCACTGGTGAAGGTTGCCATTGTTGTCATACTTGCGACCTGTTCATGAAAAGGGATCAAACACAACAAAATCCCCACAGCTGTGTCAAAAATCTCTGCTATTGATGTTTAAGGTCATTCTTGTCAATCAGTATTTACCGTTATTGTCAAAGCCGTGTGTTAACTCATGTCCTACTATCACCCCGATGGCACCATAGCTTAAAGATCTGGAAACAGATGAAAAGTGGATTAACTTTAGTCCTCCTTATTAGCTCCCTTTTAAAGTAGAATGAGTCGCAACATCATTTTAAAAATTGACAATTTGTGACAACATAATTCAAATGAAAATCGGGACAGGATGATTTAAATGGTTTGCAAAGAGAAAGACTATTAAATAAACTATTGCTTGAAATCTCATACTAATGCACTTCATATTAACATATAACATCCAAACGTATACTGTCAAAATGTGCTTTATACTTAATTGGTATACATACAATAATTGGTGTATATTGTTGGCTGAATGATAACGCATGAATTCCGACTTTTTTTTAATGGCATCATGATGCAACTATTTTGGCATGCTCTTGGCTTGTTAATTGTAATTGTATGTCCTCATCAGGACATTATTATTTATGTTTTAGATGTGTCTTCCCCTGCTGGCAGCAGATAACTTGTTAATTGTAATTGTATGTCCTCATCAGGGGCCTCATTTATAAAGGGATATACGCTCAAAAAATGGCGTATGCCAGTTTCTACGCAATGTTTGCGATTTATAAAATACTAACTTGACGGAAAAATGTGCGGTCCTCCACGCAAACTCTAACCCATGCGTACGCACTATAAGCACAACAACGGGAGAGACGAGAAACTGCGACACCGTTGGCAGAAGGAAGCATGGAGAGAAATATGTGGAAATAATACCATAAATAAAATGTTACATCTCATTTATGAAGAATTCATTTTCAAACATTGATTAAAGCCAATCTTAAAATGATCAAACAAACGCCTGTTTGCGACTCCTCAGTGCACACAAAAACATAACTTGGAGAAATAAATAAATACGGATATGTTATTTAAAACCACCTCGAATAGCCTATGTTGTGTTAATATTATGAAATGTTTTCTCATAAATGATGCGGTAAGCAGAGGACAGAATTACGTCTAAACTGATGCCGTTTTGCTTTTCTATAGGTTGTAGATACGAGCATGGTTTTATATCCTATCACGTTTAATTGTGTTTTATGCCGTTTGCCAAGACTTGATAAGTCGCTCGTAAAACACAGGAGGTATGGAAACTAAGAACACCATATGTGGTAAATTGTACAGCTAATATAACACAATACATTAGTTGTATTTCCTTTAACTGGTGGATTATGGATATATAGTTGCTGATCGAAAGCTGGAACACAAACCACCAAATACAAAAAAATAATTCAGATCCAGTCGTCATGACTCCGGAGGGATTCCCCGATCATTTCTTAGAGTTTCTCATCAAGGGGGTGCCTCCTGTCCCCGGTACAAACACACTGCCTGAGGAAGGTTATGTGTATTTTTTTTGTCATTAACCTTTTTCGGACCACTTATTTATTTATTTTGGTGACGATCCGACCTCCATGCTGCTACTCTGGTTCAAACTGCATCCACCAAACATTATGATTTATCTCGACCTTCCCAAAATAACCCAAATCTGACACGGTGTGAGATGTCTTTTTTAGCTGTTCTGTCCTCATTTCCTGCGATCTTCTTCATGCAGTCAGTCAAAATGAATGAATGAATGAATGGGCGTTTCTTTGACTATTTATAGGCAAATATGGGCGTTACGTGAAGCCTGCAAAAGCTGCGCCGCATTTCGAGTCGATTGTGATTTATAAAGGGAAACAGGCGTTGGAAGTGCACTTCCCTCGCCGGTACGCAATGTTTTGTGAATCGGAAAATGTCGGAAAGTTTCTGTACCTATTTTTTTGCTTTGTACTACGTAAGCAACCTTCCCACGTGAATCCTACGCAAGGCGTTATAAATGAGGCCCCAGGACATTATTATTTATGTTTTAGATGTGTCTCCCCCTGCTGGCAGCAGATCATTTGGAATGAAGTGCACCATGTGACCAATATATCATGTGACTTAGTTAGGAAGCCAAATGTGAGCAGGACAGCCACATGGTTTATGATGATTACAATCTGCTTCAACCCTTCTTTTGCATTCTTGGTAGGTTAAATTATTACAAAAATAGTCTTCTTTTATTTCTGTTAAATATGTTAAGTAAGTTATATAAAAAGAGTATTTTTGGGATTGATAGTTTATATCATATTGTTTTGTGTAAACTCCGTAGAACTGACGTTAGCTACAGCCGCCTTCACTGAACACGGGAAATTACAATCCTGCCGTCCTCTCTAGTGTCATGATGAGGTTCAGGTAAAGCACGGTTAATGTATTATATTATTGACTCAATAATATAATACAAGACTTTGAGAGTAGGCAATCTAGGCATATTAACAAAATTAATTAAACATACTTATCACGGCGACGGTGTACTGAGTTTTTTTTTTTTTTCATTTTTTCATTTTTTTTTTTTCATTTTTTTTTGTTTTGCTAGGGAGCCCCTTAGTGGCTGCGGGGCCCTAAGCGGCCGCTTATGTCGCTTAATGGGTCTGGCCGGCTCTGCCCTTGAGTAAGGCACTTAGCCCTCAGTTACTCCAGGGAGAATGTCCCTGTAATTGGTAATTGTAAGTCGCTTTGGATAAAGGCGTCAGCTAAATGAAATGTAATGTAATGTGTACATTTCTCGCAACTTTATATTCAATTTTCTAAAATTAGCTTGAACTTCCTTAAAGATTAGATTCGAATAACTTTAGTCTTTGGATGACAAACAAATGAATCGTCCACATTTCGGACATATCTTTCATTGCATACTGAAAGTACTGTGGTGTTGTAGTGGTCTTCCCTGTGGCTTTCTTCCAGTACGTTCATTTAACTTTCCTCACTTTGCTCCTTAATCAAAAGCATCACGTGGCTTATCTATCTATATCTATAAGTAGAGCATGTCGTATTATTTCATTCTCACCTTGGATACTCTCTACCCCAAAAGAAGGGTTTTTGAAGCTCTCCAGCAGGAAATCCTAAAAGAGAAGATCAAAATGATGTTGTTCTTTTTGCTCTTTTCATTTTTCGAAGACTTTATGGATTGCCTTTTGCCTTTATTATATAGGACATATAGACTGGAAAAGGGGAGAGCGAAAGGGGATCACTTGCAGCAAAGAGAAACAGGATGGATTAGAAGTTGTCAGCCCACTGGGCACCCAGACGACCTTTTTTCTACATCAACCTGTGTGAGGCACAGCTATTTATTAATTAAAAGTGTGATTTATCAAGAGAGTAACTATTATAAATCAGATTACACTTGACATGTTATAGAAAGCAGTCCTCACGTCATCCCTTTCAGTTCAACACGTTTTTAACCCCAATTCCCTTTCTTTCTTCTGACACTGAAATGCTTACTTGCCATTTTGAAGAAATGATACACCCCAAACATGTATTATATGCAGATACATACTTGAAATCACTGAAATGCAGTGCACCGTCATCGTTCCTGACAGAGGTTCAGAAGACAGGCAGTAATGAATAAAATAAAATATGTCAATAATCAATCATATTATATCTTACTGATTTGATTCGTGGAGGAACTGTAGAAGGCGTTCACAGTTGTTGGGTTTGTAAACCACCTGCAACACACACACACACACACACACACACACACACACACACACACACACACACACACACACACACACACACACACACACACACACACACACACACACACACACACACACACACACACACACACACACACACACACACACACACACACACACACACACACACACACACACACACACACACACACACACACATTATTACATGACAGCAAATGTAAAAAGTCACACAGCATTTTCACAGAGATGAGTCCTGCCACTCACTCTTTTCGTGGGACGGCCTTTCGGAGCAAGGCCAGATCAGATTGGACAAAGTACTTCAACGTCTGCATCACATTCCCATAGAAGTCTTTCTCACTGTATTTCAGCTAAAAAATACGCAAATGCAAATACACACTATGAAAAAACTGTACTTTTCTGCAAATATTACACCAGAATTTGACCTTTTTTTAGAACAGCCTCTCTCAATTATTGCTAGCAGACCATGTTTGTTCTTCCTAACTGATTTTTAAAACAGGGGTAGGGTCAGAACTGCTTTACAAACCTGCTTTAGGTCTTCATTGAGGTAGGTGTCGTTCAGAATAAACTCGGGGTAGCCAACTTTAGCCAGGACTGCATGTGCCTTGAGAGAAAAAGATAGTGAGTGGAGAGTTTAAACACATGTTTAGCGTCATAGCCAATGTCTTAACAATGTTTTCCTGTAACGGTTTAACCACAGAACAAATTGGAGACAGTGTAAACACTAAAGATATAGAATCTAAATGCAATGATGTTCGATTTTAGGTCACTACAAATCTCACATCCTTGTGATCAATAAAAAAAGCCCACGGTGAACCTGATTAGCTTTTTAATGTTTTAATATTGACCTAACAGATTTGTGAACCAGGGGTGTTTTGGTTTAAGCAGAACCGTACAGTTTGAAAGTACCATTTCAAAGTCAACTCTCCTCTACGAACAAAGGTCTTTGTACGTTGCTTTAGTTGATAATTGAAAATCAGATACACATACATATACAAACACACACAAAAATGCCTGTCATTTTAGTATGATTGTTTGAGCGCTACGTCCAATTTATATGTTTGATAAACATATAAAAAAACATTGATAAATCCACTGTACGCTGCCCAGTAAAAAACACCAGGCACACAGAATGAGTGACTGTCTGGTAAAGCAAGTCAAACATTTGCTCAGCCAATGTGACAGATATTTTGCCTGGGAGACAGTGCTGCCCCTAAGTGGCAAAAACAATTGAGTACAGCTTAGAGCTAGATAACTTTATTTGGGAAGTTCAATTTAGAACTGAGAGCAAATAAGAGGGAAGCAAAGCAGATTATTACAATGGCAGTGGAGTTACTGTTGCTAGACTGAGATGGGACAGAGGAAAAAGTTGTTCTTGCCTTTTCTATTGCTTTCATCTTGGTTGGTTTATCCATCCAGTCATTCTCCTTTTCCAGCATGTCAATGAACGCCCAGCGAATGCCCTCGATCAACTCTTCCATCTGAGAAACAAACACAAACACATTAACTCAAGGACGTTTACAAAAAAATACTGCTCTTGGTCTTATTGCCACATTAACCCAAACCCAGATTGACGCAGATGACAACACTTTAAATGTCTGACATCACTTCCATGTGAGACACAGACAAAATACACTTAACACACACATCTGTTACACATATACAAAATGTAATCACTTGACCTACAATTTTGGACATGATGTCATTTCTAGAGCATACACACCATGTGTTTCTTGTCTTCCTGGAAATGTCTGTTGACAAAGAGGCGTCCAGTAGCATAACCAAGCGTTTTATCGACAAAGTTAACACACTTATCCCAGCGCGGGGTCAGAGAGGTGGTTCCCTTGGTAACCTGGAGGTTGTGTGAGAGACAGAGAGGAAAGGTAACATTGACTCTTTCGCCACATGGCACTTACTTTCACTAGTACAGTCTCAGCCTCTGAATAGCCTACTTACTGGTGGGGAAATGTTGGGACTGATACTAGAGCAAAAGAAACGATTTATATCATCATTTTTTTCGTTCAAGCCATGCTATAAAGTTCATTGGAGCTCTCTCAGTAGGCTTGTCTTAAAAATAAACTAGTTGGTGTACCTTGGAGGCCTATCAATTGTTTTCCTTTATGGAACCAGTAAATGGAAAAGCAACCAAATCGTTTTTTCTTTCTTGAACCAGTCAACAGAAAAGCGACTTTTTGTTTTGCTTATTATCTTACTAAATGGTCCGATGATGAATGGAGCAGGGGAGGGCAGGGGGGTGACTCTCAGAAGTAATTTCAAAACAAAAGCTCCAGCAAACTTCATCCAAAAACTCTTGGAATAAGGTGGCAATAGGCTATATCAGCACTGGAACCAACTCAGAGATGTCAGGGATGTTAACAGTGGGTTAACGTGTGAACATGAACAACTTTTTGCTACCTCATCTCTCTCGATCAATCAAACAATCTTTAACCAGCCGACATGCCCCTCTAACTGGTTATTGGTTGTTGATTCCTGCAGTGGTTCCCATAAATGTCAACATCACTGCAGTTGCAAAGCAAAGGAAGACAGCATGCTTCAAATCCTCCACCATCATTCCTGTCCCGAAGAATACAAGGACCACAGGATTGAATGACTACAGACTCGTCGCCCTGACCTCTGTGGTTTTGAAGTCCTTTGAGGGCCTTGTCCTGTCCCACCTAGAAACCATCACAGACCCCCTGTTGGACCCCCTAGAGTTCATCCACAGAGCCAACAGGTCCGTAGTCGGTCAACATGGATCTTCACTTCCTTCTTCAGGACCTGGACACAGCAGGAACCTACGCCAGGATCCTGTTCGTAGACTTCAGCTCTGCCATTCTCGATACAATCATTCCGTTGGGGAAACACGTCTCTGACCCCCGGACCATCATCACTGGTTCCCCTCAAGGCTGCGTTCTTTCCCCTCTGCTCTTCTCCCTGTGCACCAACAGCTGCACCTCCAGTCACCAGTCCGTCAATCTCCTGAAGTTCAGACGACACAACCCTTATCGGACTCATCTCTGGTGGGGACGAGTCTGCCTACAGGTGGGACATGGACCATCTGGTGACCTGGTGCAGGGACAACCACCTGGAGCTTAATGCTCTTAAGACAGTGGAGATGGTTGTGGACTTCAGGAAGTATGCAGCCCCACCCGCCCCCATCGCTCTGTGGGACTCCCAAGTCTGTGGAGTCCTTCCGCTTCCTGGTTAACATCATCTCCCAGGACCTTAAGTGGGAGCAGATGTAGCTCCCTCACCAAAAAAGCCCAGCAGAGGATGTTCTTCCTGAGGCAGCTGAAGAAATGTAACCTGCCAAAGTCAATGATGGTGAACTTCTACACCTCCATCATCGAGTCCATCCTCACCTCCTCCATCACCATCTGGTACGCTGCAGCTACAGCCAAGGACAAGGGCAGGTTGCAATATCTCGCCACCTGAATAGTTTCTTCCATGATTATATCCCTTTCTTCTAAACTATTAATATCAATATAGGCTCTGGGAGGACATAGAAGCCTGTCTTGAAAGCCCCTACACTTCCTCTACAGTTATTCCAATATTATCCAAAAACTTTACCAAGTGGGGGCTTTCATTTTGAAATTACTTCCGAGAGTTCCGTCCCGCACCTCGTAAAAAGCAAAAACGAAATAACCATCAGTTACTATTCTCTTTACTGGTTTAAGAAAGAAAAACTGTTAATAAGAAGGTATACGGATTGACTACTCAAAATATCACATCAATTTCCCAGTTCTCTGTATTGTAGTACAGAGATCAGTATGTACAGTAGCACATACTGTTAACTACTAGTGTTGAATCTGAATAAACTTCCTGTATACATAGTATACATTTTCCAAACATCCTTTATGAAGTGGGATTCCTCCAACATTTTCCAACTGTATCTGCATGATGTCAAGCCAACTTTTTAGCTTTTTTAAAGACACACACTACCCATTTATTTTTTCAGTCAATCAAAACCCTTAAGAATGACCCAAACAATACAGAATTTGGAAAATTCTTTCTGTACCAACCCGTGCATAGTCCTGGTATCTGTAAAGGAAACGACGGCTAAGGGAAGAGATGCTGGAAAAAACTGTCCTCCATTGTACGTAGTTAGCTACAATCCTGGAAAGAGATAGAGAGGATGAACATGAATTAAATGCCATGTAATCTCATTATACACTATAATATACTTATAATGAGATATAGGTGTATCTGGCTGTTTAAACGTATATGTGCATGTTCTATCCTGTGATACTTCTTAGTCCCTCCTTGTTTGCTGTACCACGTGGTTTCAATCTAAGTCTTGTGTCACACATTTATATAAAATGTTTTGCTGTTCGTGTTTTTGTGTGTGCGTGTGTGCGTGCGTGCGTGCGTGTGTGTGTGTGTGTGCAGGTACCTAGGATCTGTACTGTTAATGAGCATAACAAGGTCCTTAAAGTACTGCGGTGCTCGGACGATGACAGGCTCAGAGGTGGAGATGGACCGAACCGGTTCAACTTTAGAGTCCACCACAGCTTTTACAAAACCCAGCCAATCAAACTGCATATAGAGAAGATATCCAGTAGAGGTTACTTATATAACATATAGTCCATTACAACTCAGAATAATACAAATTGAGGGAGACCTGTAATGATGTAAATCATTTTTGCATGTAGAAAAAGGACTGCTTGTCTTACACGTTAAGTAATTCAAATACATATGTAAAATAAATCATAAAACAGGTGATTTGGTTTTACGAAACATTGGAAGGATTGTGTTCTTTATGTGTTTGTTTGTATTTAAGTACCTGTGGTATGGTGCGCTGCAGGCGAGAGAGCGACATTTTGTTGTACATGTTGTCACTGTTGCGGTTATCATATGGAATCAGGATCTGCACACACAATGAGCAATCTTAACTGACATGACTGATCCTAAATACAATGTTTTAACAGTCACCTATTATGCAAAATCCACTTTTTCATGTCTTTTATACATAAACATGTGCCCCCTCTGTGTAAAGAGATTCTGAAAGTTTCAGGAAAAAAGATTTGCTAACTTTTTGTCCTGATCCATTTATATAAAAACCTGTCTGAAAATTAGCTGAACAGATTTTGGCCACTTTATGATGTCATAACGTTTTTTTGGCTTGTGTAACCATTAGCCTATAACCAACCAAGGTAACCCCCCCCCCCCCCCCACACACACACACACCTTATCACCTGAATCTACTTCGAGAGCACCATTGTGTTCTTTTTAACCAAATATCTCGCAGAGGGGCGTTGGGAGTGGCACCTTATTTTCATCTTAAAGGTCCCATGTCATGGCCATTTCTACTGATCGTCTTTCCATTGTTGAGGTCTACTAGAATAGATTTAAATTGTGCAATTTTCCAAAATCACATTGGTTTCTCATACAGCATCTCTGTATAGTATGTGTATTCACCAGGTATTCACTCTCTGTCCTAAACGGCTTGTTGGAGCTCCTGCCCCCCCTCCCTGTGAGCCCAGTGTGCTCTGATTGGTCGGGACGTTGCGAACTTGCGAGGCTCGTTGCTGCGAGGAGCGGACAGGTTTCCGGGTCGGCGATACAGCGAGAACAAGCTAAACTCATCCTGAGCACACACAAACATTCACAGCCGAAGTAAAAACAATAAGTGTGGCTTGATATTGAGTAAGAAAAAGGTTTATAACGCTGTGAGAATGGGTCTGCGGAGAGCATTTCTCCGCGATCCCAACTCGTCTATTACCAGCGTTCAGGGAGCTCTATGCAAGTCAATGGGGACTCCCTGTTAGTTAGCCAAGGGATCCTGGTGTGTGAGGTGCTCCGCGGATTGGTCCATTTGGGCCAATCCGGTCATTTGTTGTTGATTTGGGTGTTCACACGTCACAGAACCCAGGAAGCAAACAATGGAAAATGAGAAATCTCCAACGAGGCGTTCTGGGGCAGCATAGACAGGTATTTTCTGTGTTAGAGTTTTACACGCTACAGGGTGTACTTTGAGGGGTTTTGACTCCGTTTACATGCATAAAAACCTTCATAACACACAAGGGGACGGGTAATAACCGGAAAAGCATGACATGGGCCCTTTAAGTAAAAGACAGAGAATCAGCACTTTTGAAACAGGGCTGAAACAGAGGGGTTTATGGGATGCTACAATGATCTGTTTGGCATTTGGACCCAAACACTTCAGAGACATGTTTTGTATATATCTGAGACCTATAATATATTGATGAAAATCAGTATAATAGTAATAGAATAGTATATCGGAGGGATGAAACTCTTTTAATGGTCACACATGCAGAGCACACAGCACACACAGTGACATTTGTTCTCCGCATTTAACCCATCCTAACTAGTAGGAGCAGTGGGCAGCTCAGTGTTTCCCCTACCATTGTCTTGGAGGGGCGCTGCACCCCGCCAATGGAGCCCCCCCCCCCTCTGAAATTCAAGGTGTTTAAAAAAAAAAAAAAAATTATATATATTTTTTTTTAATATTTAAAAAAAAATATATATATATATATATATATAGCACCAAATTGCAACTAATCTATATCTACTGTAACTTTTCACATTGAATATGTGCTCTTTTATTAAATAAACTAAACACTTTCATTTGAAGTTGTGAGTTTAGTGTTTTTGACCCTAAGAAACACTGATGCATTAATCAATAACAATAATCCACAGCTCCTCTCTCTGCTCCAGAGGATTTAAAAAATATATATCCCAATAGCACCCCCCCCAAAGTAGTAAACCTAGGGGAAACACTGTTGTACAGCGGGGACCTTTAATAGTTTTCCTTAAAGTAGATCAATCATTCTCATATTTCACAACACATTAGTTAACACATCCAGTGCCATTATGGACTATGAAATTATCTCCAAACATTGAATAGATTTATATGTATCTGACATGACGTTCTTACATAAGCCAGTTTGGTCTCGAAGGCAAGAGCCTCTTCCATCTGGGTCAGTGCTGCTTTCTCCTGAGCGCCCAGCATAACTGCTGTATCCACCATGAAACTCAACAAGGCTGCACGATACTGGAGAAAACAGCAGAGTGAAAGAGAGAAAACAAAGATACGCCATCAGACATCAAGCAAAGGCTTCTGCACTTCTTTTGCAGATTTATTATTATCTGTTTTATGGGGAGAGATGCACAGCTAAGATGCACAAAATAAAATACAAAATGACAAAGTGCCATCATAGTTAACAAGATCATAGTTACACAAAAAGAGTGATTATCCATGAACCTAGTAATTTTTTTAATTAACTTCATAATGTTAATTATGTATCATATTTTTCTACACAATATTAAGGAGCCCTGCTAGTTGCACCCTAAATGTAGAACATTGTTTATCTATGGATAGCTAATGTACTTTCCTACTGATAGTCTACTAATATCATGAAAAACTCTTGTGAAAATGATTTGCTCCATTTGTTGTTACTCTGGCCTGATGAGCCAGCTATTAGACAATCAGCATTTGTTGCCTTTCCACAATTCATTTCCTGCATCACAACTCTCTACCATCTGTGAAAATGTTTAGTCTGGAAGGAATTATTGTTCTGATTTAAAAAAAAAACATAATTAACTGTTGATAGTTTAAGCAGCTGAACCTCTTTCTGCTGCAATGTATCACTCAAGCAAGAAGAGTTTTTAAATAACAAGTAAAAGAAGTGAAAGATTGATGTGAGACTCACCGCCCGGGCGGAGGAAGTGTTGGTGATGTAGTCTTCCCTGGAGGGCAGAGACAAGTACTCCTGATCAAGCTACATAAAGACAAAGAGCACATATTAGATTCTGCTGCTTTTTAAAATTGTATTTTTTCTAGGGCTGTCAGTCGATTAAAATATTTAATCGCATGATTGTCCATAGTTAATCGCGATTAATCGCAAATTAATCGCACATTTTTTATCTGTTCTAAATGTACCTTAGAGGGATATATTTCAAGTTTTTAATACTCTTATCAACATATGAGTGGACAAATATGCTTTATATGTTTGTTTATTATCATTAGAACAATGACAAATATTCTCATGAATATTAAACACAACAACCTCTGAACATTACAAATATTCGCCTCAATTCAACCTGGAACCTCTCTCATACAATACAATGTGTGTGTGTGCGTGTGCGTGTGCGTGTGCGTGTGCGTGTGCGTGTGCGTGTGCGTGTGCGTGTGCGTGTGTGTGTGTGTGTGTGTGTGTAGACACTGTGATGGATCGTTGGAGCTATGTGCAGCTCAAGGCATATATGCTCGAACGGGAGCTGCCTGGACGCTGCAATCATGTTGCGCGCACTATCCGTGCTGAGTGTGCTGACTTTTCGTACAATGTCCCACTGTCTGGCTACCTGCATAAAGTCAAGTGCTCGGCGCAGTTGTCGACGAAATGTCGCTCCTCTGTTTTCATTTAAACAGCTCCTTATATCCGTTAGCGCAGCTACCTCGGACGTTACACTAGCACCAGATGCTAACAACAACAACAACACGTAAGGTGTGCCTCACTCGCGCCACACATACACACACCCTCCCCGGCCTCCCGATGGCCAGTCCGGGCCTGCCGGTGAGCGTGGAAGTGTGGTCTGCCACAAGCGGGCGGCAGGAGCAGGGCTGTCAGCATCAGCTTGTAGATGGTATTTTAAACTCAATGCGCTCTGAAACTACGGGGCGGCCGAGGACAAAAAATACACATGCGTTAATCGCGTTAAAATAATTAGTGGCGTTAATTTGTTTTTGCGTTAACGCGTTATTAACGCGTTAACTTGACAGCCCTAATTTTTTCATCTTCTACCTTTGCTGCAGCCATAACAATTTGAACAATGTGCAAGGAGCTGAACCTGTGGAGTGTCTTATCTACGTTGTTTCGAAATTGTAATATTAGTTGTAAAGTAAAACATATACAGTACATCTGTTTGACTGGTTAAAAATCCATAAAAAACATGCTAATATAAACATATAGTATAGTTTCTCCTTTCTTATAAATATCTGTAGTGTTTTGGATCCTGTTGTATTTTTTACTTTTTATATTATTTATCCAGAATATTGTATATTGTTTTGTTTTTATTGTTTATATTTGATATACCTCTCTGAAGAACCAGCACTTTACCGTGGTGGAGAGGTTTGTCTGCCCTGATGAACCTGGGGGCTGTGTTGTCTGGAACCTTGTGTTCCTGGTAGGCAAATTGGTCTCAGGCAAGGGGCCAGACTAAGATTGGTTCAAAGACCTCATGAAAGACGAACTAAGAAGTGAGGATACCCGGCCCGGAGGAAGCCCGGGGTCCCCTTCTGGAGCCAGGCCCAGAAGGAGGACTCGTCGGCGAGCGTCTGGTGGCCGGGCTTGCCACGGAGCCCGGCCGGGCACAGCCCGAAAAGGCAACGTGGGCAACACTTCCGCTTCTCCGTCCCGCGGGCCCACCACCTACGGGAAATAGCGATGGGGTCGGGTGCGCTGCCAGAAGGGTGGCAGTGAAAGCAGAGGGTCTCGACGGACCAGACCCGGGCGACAGAAGCTGGCTTTGGGGACGTGGAACATCATCTCTCTGGGGGGGATGGAGCTTGTGCAGGAGGTGGAGCGTTACCAGTTGGATCTGGTTGGGCTCACCTCTACGCACAGCGTCGGCTCTGGAACCTTACTTCTGGATAGGGGTTGGACTCTATTCTTCTCCGGAGTTGCCCAAGGTGTGAGGCGCCGGGCGGGTGTGGGGATACTCACAAGCCCCCGGTTGGGTGCTTCTTTGTTGGAGTTTACCCCAGTGGACTGTACTCCCAAAGTGAGAGCTGTGTCCGGGTCCTCGGCAGTAAGTCGGACCCATTTCCGGTAAGGGTTGGCCTCCGCCAGGGCTGCGCTTTGTCACCGATCCTGTTTGTAATATACATGGATAGGATTTCGAGGCGTAGTCGTGGGGGAGGGGGTCTGCAGTTCGGTGGACTAAGGATTGCACCACTGCTTTTTGCAGATGATGTGGTTCTAATGGCTTCATCGGTCTGCGACCTTCAGCACTCACTGGATCGGTTCGCAACCGAGTGTGAAGCGGCTGGGATGAGGATCAGCACCTCCAAATCTGAGGCCATGGTTCTCAGCAGGAAACCGACGGACTGTCCACTCCAAGTAGGGAATGAGGCCTTACCCCAAGTGAAGGAGTTCAAGTATCTCGGGGTCTTGTTCTCGAGTGAGGGAACAATGGAGCGTGAGATGGGCTGGAGAATCGGAGCAGCGGGAGCGGTACTGCAGTCGCTTTACCGCACCGTCGTGACGAAAAGAGAGCTGAGCCAGAAGGCAAAGCTCTCTGTCTTCCGGGCCATTTTCTTTCCTACCCTCACCTATGGTCATGAAGGATGGGTCATGACCGAAAGAACGAGATCGCGAATACAAGCGGCCGAGATGGGTTTTCTCCGCAGGGTGGCTGGCGTCTCCCTTAGGGATAAGGTGAGAAGTTCAGTCATCCGGGAGGGACTCGGAGTTGAACCGCTCCTCCTTCGCGTTGAAAGGAGCCAGTTGAGGTGGTTCGGGCACCTAGTAAGGATGCCACATGGGCGCCTCCCTAGGGAGGTGTTCCAGGCACGTCCAGCTGGGAGGAGACCGAGGGGTAGACCTAGGACCAGGTGGAGGGATTATATCTCTTCGCTGGCCTGGGAGCGCCTTGGAATCCCCCAGTCAGAGCTGGTTGATGTGGCCAGGGAAAGGAACGTTTGGGGCTCTCTGCTGGAACTGCTACCTCCGCGACCCGACCACGGATAAGCGGGAGAAGATGGATGGCTGGATAATATTTTTCATTTCTTCCTTTTATTTTGAATTGTTGATTCTCCTTTCCACTTTTTAAAGTATTTTTAAGTATTGTATTATAAAGTCTGAACACTGCTCCTGTGACGAAAGAATTTCCCAAACTGGGATCAATAAAGTATCTATCTATCTATCTATCTATCTATCTATCTATCTATAACAATAGTCAATCTAGTACAGGAATAGTTACATATGGGAAATATATTTCTTGACTTCAGAATCAGAATCAGAAACGGGTTTATTGCCAGGTAGGTTCACACATACGAGGAATTTGACTTGATGTCATGGTGCATACATAAAATATAAAACAAATGTGATACCACTTTTATACCTCTCACGCGGGAGGAAACGGCTAGATAAAAAGCTGCTAGCTTTACAATCAAAAATATATTCTTTGTTTAATTGGTTCAGAATTTGAGCTGTTAAATTCACAATTGGTGTTAAGTGGAGGGTTATGTGTCAGATAATAAGTGTTTTTTCTAAAACATTTTAAAAGTGGAAAACCTGCATGGATAAACAGTATTAAGAGTTAACTGTGGATGTCTGACCTTGAGGATGTAGTTTGAGGAGTTTTTGTCATCGGGGGAGACGTACATTCGAATCAGGACATTCCTGCCAAACTGTTTCCTTATCTCAGTGAGGGTCTTCAGGAGGCTCCACTCCCCCTCGGACCACTGGTACTCTCCTCCGAGCCCCTCCCCCACCACAGGCCACCGAAACTCAGGCTGTCGGAAAATGTTCAGCAGCGGTTTGCTGTCCACCTGCTCCAGTATAGCTATAAAAGCAAACAGATCATTTAATACATTACATTTAGGTTCAACATTTAGTCTGGTGATTTCATAAGATAAGATAAGATAAGATGGAACTTTATTAATCCCCTTGGGGAAATTCAGGCGTTTATAGCACCAGAGTTAAAAACAGGATTCACACAAGGTAAAAATAAAGACAAAATAGAATAAAAAATATAAATAATAATACAAAATGTTTTTAAAATAAAGTGATAAAGTAACTGTTGAAACAAGACATCACAATAAAACGTTGAGCATTTGAATGTACATGTTAGATATATTTACATATGTGTCCAGATGTGAGTGCAGGTTAAAGGTTTCATGTTTGTATTGGATTGTTTATTGGAGTGAATTTATGATTTTTCTATTGGAATTACCGAAAAAAGTCTCTAGGGAATATATATGTCCACTTAAATGGCAAAACCAAGTTTGTGTGTGTGTGACGGACTCACTCTCATTCATACAGGAGCGGTAGAGGATCTTAGCCTTAGTCACTGCTTCCAGTTCATCAGGGGGTGAAGGAGCTTCTAGTAACTCTGACAGGAAAGAAATTGTACAACTCCATAAACTACCATAAACTGTCTCTAAAATAAACTTTTAAGACATATACTATATGGGTGAAGTACAGTCTCCAGTTGTGATAGAAGAAGAAGAAGAAAGGTAAGAAGAATAAGACACTTTTTTTAACCCTACAAGAGGAAACCTCCAGGGAACAATGGAGGAGTAGAATTAGCGTGTCTCTGGCAAGCCAATCAGGAATTAAATTGGCAACTGGTTCCCAAGCTAAGTCCCAACAGACTTAGCTACTGCTGCCCCTGAACTACTCACAGCTACCACACAGGGAGCTGCATGAGGTCTAAGGGACTTTGGGCTGAAGTTTAAAATGGAGAAAAAATTGGAGGTGCAGAAAGAATCGGCCCAACAATGTGCTCTTCATGTTTGGCATCATGACATTCCTGCTCCTCTGCAATTCTGTCATATACGTTACCAAATAGCTTTATTATTTTATCTGTTGAAGTCATCAAGGTATTTGAAATGTTTAGGGCAAACCCACCTTTGACTTTTACGTCTACATTCTGCCGTAGCCAGGGATAGATACCATACGAGGACAAGTCTTCAGGGATCGAGTTCTCCTTTAACCAACCGCCACACGAGAAACTATAGAAATCCTCGCAGGGGTTAACAGACCGATCTATTTTACTGAGTACAGACCCCGCTACAAGAAAGAAGAAAAACACAAGTTAGTGAGTTTAAATAGAAACCTTTCAGTTACAACTTGAATATATCATGCTCAAACAGTGACTCTTTACAAGAACTCCTCACCTGCTTCGATGCATTCTGGGGTCAGACAGAACTCTTCCTTTTGACTAGATTTTTGAGAAACTGAGGAAAACAAAAGACTTGAGGATTAAGCTTGAGAACTGTAAACAGTGTTTGTATAGAGATAGTTATTTAATGCTTTGTGGCCGTTAATCAGTGTAGGGTTGTTAAATACTTTGCTTAACAGAACGTCAAACCTCGATTTTTAGCTAACATTCACAAGAACAATACATTTCCAGGAGTGTTTGTATTAATAGAGCTGGAAAACCAGGAACACATGATGTCTACAAAGCACAAGTCATAAAATATAACTTAACAAATGTTTCCTTCTTTTCTCCGCCAATGTGATACATTGTCAAGTAAGAAATATACTAAAGATCATGAAATGCAGTTGAAAACTTAGAAAAAGTAAGAAAGTTGACGTGAGTTTGAAACCCAGGTGGACCCATGGATCTCTGGATCTTAGGCCCCGTCCACACGGAGACAATATCAGTTGAATCCGCTAGACTAGGGGTCGGCAACCTTTTTGATATGAAGTGCCATTAAAAAAATTAATTGTTATCAGCGTGCCAACGATCGAGAATTATCAAAGGGGGGGGGGGGGGGGGGGGGGTTGAGGAGCTTGACGCTGGTTAACTATCAACAGGAGGGCGGGGGGAGCCTCGCTGCGGGGAAGCAGTGTGGACCTGTCAGCACAACTTACATGATGCCGAATTTAACAAACACATTTAAATAATTGGTTTAAACGGCATAATAATAAGGACGATCGTCCGTTCTGTGATTCTCCAGAACACACATGTTATGATATTAAGGTCAGGCAGAGTGAGATGAGATCGCTGTCCCTTTAAGAGAGAGAGAGAGGGGTGTGGCGTGTGCATGTGTGTGTGTGGATGGTAGAGCGACAGTGAGGGAGCGTGTGTATGTTTCTGGAAGTGAAACGAGGCAGCAGAAAAACAGAGGTCTGTGATGTATTTTGTGAAACAGAAGAACAGCTAAATAAATGCAACGGCCTCCCAAGAAGAGCTCGCCTCTCTCCAGTCATTTAAGCTAGTGGGTTATTGAACCTGAAGCTTGTTGCTTCTGCCCTCCTCGACTACGGTCTGGGAGCCGACAGGAAAGTTCAACACACAGATGGCCAGTCCGCCCCTTTGTAGCATATTATTTCAATGAGAGATGAGCAGATTGGCACTGGGCTTTCAACTAAAGGCACAGCCACGCAAAAACTGTGGTATTTGTACAGCTCCTTATGGGTACTGCAATTTGTGCTTTCCTCCGTGGTGAAACGATCAGCCCTGCACCACGGAGGAAAGCGGCAGAAAGTCACCTGGAGTTAAACAGAGCGGTAGAGATGGCAAATCCGGATCCTTTTACGGACTCAGGGTCTTCTGAGTCAGTCATTGAAGAGATCCGGATCATACGAGTCATTTGAGTCATATGAGTCAGCATCACCAAGACCGTAGAAATCCTATCGGTGAAACCGAAAAGTTGATGCATTTCACGAGCATATTATTATTCCATATATTTTGAATATATATATATATATATATTTGTATATATATATATATATATAATATCTGCATGTATATTTTCTATTTCGACATGTATATTTTATATTTTATATTTTATTTTATTTTTATTTCTATTCTTGTATATTTTGTAGTTTTGTTGTATTGTAAAATGCCTTATGCTGCTGTAACAACAACAATTTCCCAATTTGGGATCAATAAAGTACTATCTATCTATCTATCTATTAAACTGACGTTATATTAACCTCCGCTACACAGTGTATTTTGCTTTAATAAAAAATGTTGATCACAAAAAAAAGGGTTATTTTGCGATTTGGCAAATCTGAGTCTGCTGTGGACTCGTGCATGAGGACGAGTCTGCTGGATCTCTGGATCTGCTGCTATATACGGCTCTGAGTCCGCACGAGTCTGATCCGCTGTGTGTTGCAGAACAGTGAGTCAGGATTTGCGAATCTGAGTCTGCTGTTGACTCGTGCATGACGACGAGTCTGCTGGATCTCTGGATCTGCTGCTATATGGTTACGGCTCCGAGTCCGCACGAGTCTGATCCGCTGTGTGTTGCAGCGAGTCAGGATTTGCGAATCTGCGAATCTGCGAGTCTGCGAGTCTGCGAGCGAGTCTGCGAGTCTGCGAGTCTGGGAGCGAGTCTGCTCGTGCATAGCGCGGGAGCCGGGTGCTGGAGGAGGGGCTATGCTCGTGCACATGACGAGATCGCTGGATCTGCTATGCTATTACGGTTAGGAGCCGTCGGCTCCTCTGAGTCCCCACGAGTCTGCAGGAAGTTTCACTGATCCGCGTCCCCTCCCCTGAGCCAAACGATAACTTCTGGCAGGCAGCTATCCTGTATACTTACTAAAGGGTAGGTAGATGGACTGGGGTACGTTGTAATGTGATTTTACATGTTATAAAGAGAGTAGCGAGTGACGCAATTTATAGTTTTAATTTGTACGTCACACCAAGTGTGGGACTCAAGGACTCGGGTTAATGGAGAGGGGAGACTCGTCACGACCAGCTCATTTCTAGGATCCGGGTTAATGATCCGGATGAATCAGGACTCGCCCATCTCTACAGAGCGGGGCTGCGCTGCGTGCATGGCTTCCTTCTGCAGGTAACGGGGAGACGCGCTCTGGCGGCGGTCTCGTTCAGGATCCGAAAATACAATTGAAATATTTTGCACACTTATTCCACTTATTCCTAGTGTGCCACTGGTTACGGTGCCGCGTGCCATCATTGCCATCATCGTTGCCGACCCCTGGTATAGACGGTTCGTCCACACGAGGCCGAAACGGAAACGCGGATTCGGAGCCCGAATCCGATACACTGTGATAACGGCTCCCAAAGTGGGTAGGTCTGAGGACGAAATGCTTGCGGCTCCGTGTGTACGCCCTATACGATCATTTCCTGAAAACGATGACGCCATAGCCCCGCCTCTCCCCACCACTCCTGCTCACCCCCGCGTCATTGCTGAAGGGTTTCGCCCACAACAACAACAATGGCGGATCACAGGGTTGCTTCCGTGCCCCAGACGCTACTGACCATGATACAGATTTTAGTGCAAAATCTACAGCTCCTCTACCACAACCATCAGCAACAATAATTATATTATTATTGTATTCATAATAATAATAATAATTATAATAATAATAATAATAATCGTCATCGGTCTTATTCGCTGCTTTTGGTGTATTTTGTGGCGGAAGTACAGCGCCACTTACAGGCCCGGCATATGTACTACAGCGTCTCCAGCGTTTTCGAGCGTTTTCGTGTGGACGGACACGTTTCTTGATCCGTTTCCGTGTGGACGGAAGACTTTTTTGATATCGACTTCGGTTCGTTTTCGTCTCCGTTTCGTTTCCGTGTGGACAGGGCCTTATGGCGCGTTTCCACTACACGGCCTCGCTCGGCCCCGCTCGGTATGGCTGGGCCTCGTTAGGACTGGCTCACTTTATGGCGCATTTCCATTACAGTTTAGGAACTGGGGCAGTATCTATAGTAACGCAGTGTAGGCGGAGCCGTGACGTGATCTTCAGAGGACCCCAGAAAAACAACACAGCCGTTAGCTGTTAGCACTCAGAGCTCACAGCTCCTCATATATGTTCAGAAACTAGACAAAAGTTAAACAAGTACAAACCACAGACTGCCTGTGTCATGGTGAATACAGTCGCTGCTTTATTTATGTCTGTATAGGCCGTTGTTGTGAGTGTGGACGGTCGGAGCATATACTGCGTTAGCTTAGCCAATCTCCATTTAGAAAACAAGCATTTTAAAAGGTTTTTCCCCTGCCGTCTGTCTGCAGACTTGACAAAGCATTAATTCATGGTTTTTACTAACCGGTATCAGTATGTTGTTACTTCGGCATCATTTTGAAACGTGTATTACAATTAAATCACGGTCAAATATGTCCATCTTGTTGTAGTTGTTGCCCCCTTGCCAGCGACGCTCTCTCTAGTTAAGCATACTCAGCCCGACTCAGCCTCGTTGTCTCTGGCCCTGGACCCACGATTTTATGAGGCCAGAAAAACTGTGAATTAGGACCCGCCGGCCGGTACTAGGCCAAGTGGAAACGCAACCAAAGACGGGCCGCTGACGTCACAGCCCTCTTAAACCGGGCTGCGGGCTGTAGTGGAAACGCGCCATTAGTGGATGTCTGTGCACCACTTGAATCTCAAACAAGACAGAACTGCTTCCAGGTATAAGTACTCCCCCACTCATGACCTTTTGATCAGCTGCTCCCCGATTCAGACTGCAAGGAATGTGGGTGTGACTTGTAAATCCTACAAATGTGCAATTCCCAATTGATATCAGCACTGCAGTAAGACAACACATCTTTCGTCACAGACTAAAAACCCACATGTTTCCACTGTATCTTGGCCAATACAAATACAAATCTCTGTTCTGTATGTAGCACTTAGAAAGGTTCTGCTTAATTGGTGCCAAGGCAGTAGGACTTTTGAAAGCAAATGTACTTTCAGGATTCTTTTTTTTTCTTCTAACTTGCAGGTAATCCAAATATGTGCAAAGAGGTGAAGCGTCATGGAGCAGTGGTGCTGAGAAGTGCTTTGGTGATAGAGGAAATCAAAGCAGGTAGCTACATTTTACATCACCCACCTGTCACTTAAAGCAGCCATGCACAAATTGTTGAGTTGTTGAGTGAATTATATAAAAATCCAGTCCTCTACAGTTGTCCTGATTAGGGAAATTAGCTATAGTAAACAAAACCATTTTTATCATGCTGTAAACTTGTTTCTGTCTTCTGTAAAGTTGGGCATTTTAAGGCTGTTGGCATTGACTCGCTTTTGGAGCCAGCCTAAAGTGGCCATTCAAAGAACTGCAGATTTTGTCACAACTGGGTTGGATTCATTTATAGTATGGTATAGTAGTATGTGTACATTATCCAAAATATGCCATGATTGTAAAAAGCTACTTTCTAGTTCTGTTACTGTGCAATGCTACTTTATCCACAAGCATTTTCCAGCCATTTTAACACGAGCAAGTCATGCTTCTCACATACAGTACAGTGCTAAACAATATTTAAATGTGATTCCAAAAATACTGTATGGTTATATTGTATAAATAAAAAGGCTGCAACAAGAGTCAAGTCCTATCTATTATTGAAACATAAACTCAAAGTGCTTGCTAGCTATAGACATTTTTGAAATGCTCAAAAATGATACTGATTATCAGAGAAAAAGAAAAGAAAAAGGTAACCGGTAACTTTCTCGTACGCGCAAGAAAGTTTTTCTTCTTTCATGACCCTTTATGGGCTCCGTAGTCATGCCTTGAGTCACAAGCAAATATTGAGTAATGTCCAACATACATATACTTGAGCCTCAGTTAGAAGTACTGCACACACTTCCAAACAAAGCAATCAGAATGCAGGAATAACACAGAAAATAGCCAGCCATTGTTTACGAAACTTGTGGTGTAACCAGAGGTTTAACCATTCTCCTGCTTTCTTAGAAGGTGAACAAAGGCCTGTTTCTCTGACGTCTCAGCAGAAACCTCTGTTATGTGCTTTGAGGGCAAACAGAGGCAGTAAAAAGCTGCAAAGTGAGTGGACAGATTTAGATACCAAATCCCCGATGTCAATGGTTGAGTGGAGCATTACAGATCTGCCTCAATGTCTGACCTCAGAGGTTGACTGCCCCTGCTGTTCAGTTTGAGCTGCTTGTGAGAGTCACTTCATGTTGTGCCCACGCACACTAAAACAACTTCAACTCAGCATGACCTACTTGGCCTTAAACAATCTCAAACACAGCTTTGTCCGACACATATAGGAATTTAAACACACACAGATGTCTAAGGTACCGGTGTCACTGCTAATTCCAACCTCATGTTATTACTTAAACACCAAACATACACAACACTATTTAAGAAGCACACTATATGAACTTATTAAAAAGTGAGAAAAAAAAATCCAGCACTTGTCATTCCAGTGTCTGGTCATTCGCATGGCTGCAGATCAGAGGAGGGTTTCCATTAAAGTGGGAGTGTGCTACTGCATACAGAGGCACATAACATAATTATACATCAATGCCACCACAAAAATGTGGGCTTCCCTCAATAACAAGAGAAACAATACTTATATGTACCCCACCCCAGACAGTTTCAACCCCTCCCAACCAGGACCATCCTCATACCACTCACTACTGTAACTAGACAAATGACTCTTAAAGGAGAAGTTCATCATGGGAAAAACATGTATTCATTTTCTTGCAAAGGGTAAAGGCCCAGACACACCAGGCCGATATCGGCCGTCTTCGGTTGTCTGGCGACGAAGCGTGCCCTGTCGCCCAAAGTCAATTTGGTGTGTCCCGAACCCTCGGCCGTGACACACCTTATTTGGCCTTTCACGGTCAACACACGGCCGATTCAACATGTTGAATCGGCCGTGTGTCGGACACAAGCTATCGGGCCAAGAAACCACTCTGATTTAAGTACAGTGTCTAAGTACATGAGATACTGTCTACCGCTGTTAATTTACCTATTGTGAGTCGCCTCGGATAAAAGCTGCACATGGAAATGTAAATTTAGCAAGAAGTGGCCATTATGACATTACATACATTACTACATTGCTGACTCTAATAAACTACACACCCGCCAGAACACTGTGATCATCAGATGCAACTGACAGTTATGTAGGCACATTGTTATTGTTTCTTATCGCTGTGTGATTAAAAGAATAAAACACAAATAGCAGGATAGGCAATGCAAAACTTTATTTCGTACCTTCATACACACATAACACAACATTAGAATGAGCTTTTATCAACGCCTACATGATGATAACCTGTCAACATGACAGGAAAATCCACATGACATTAATACAGAGCGGGCAGAACCCAAATCTGCATTCAAAGAATACACTTTACCAAAGCTTGAGGAAAATATCACAACGCCCCATGACCTTCTCGCTCGCTGTAGTATCCATGATTTCACCCATTTAGTGCGGTTTCTCCTAATTCTTCGCTTCTGCCTCTTGAGAGACTGTTTCTTGAGAATGTCTTGCACAAGCAACACTCCAATGACTGATAGCTCCGCACGAAACATGTTTTCGATGGACGAGAGTGAAAATGGAACGCACATGCTATTTGTTGTTTGTTTATATCACAGTCTGTTCTTCTTCTCTTTCTTCCGGTTGTTGCCTATTTTGAATGACGAATACACACTACCACCGCCTGCTGGTAAGGAGAGTTATTGCCACTCACGCATGCGCAGTTCGTACGTGCTCGGCTGAAGTCTTTGCGGTGTGTTCCAGTGCGACACATGGCCAACACGCAGGAGAACTCGCCGATGCAACAGTCGGTGTCGGTGTCGGCGAGTTCTCTGGTGACTGCCTGGTGTGTCTGGGCCTTTAGAAGAGACTCTCACATATGTCTTGTTCTAGCACGGCACCCTTTAAGGTATGTATGAGATACATCTTTCAAATAACAAAAATGGACCCACCTTTGTTTTATTATTAGATGCTCAGAGCAACAGACCCTATCACAAATATTTACAAATATTAAGTGAGATTGCGTCTGACATGAACAATCTCCTTCTGTGTGATACAAGGACCCTATTTTTTAAGGAATACATATAGGAAACGCCTAATTTACTTTTTTTTGTAAATTGACGTAGCATTTCACAATTCTGTTTTCATACAGATTCAACATACGTAAGTTACAAAGTCAAAATGAGTTTAAAGGTGCTGGATAACAATTATAGTATCTTCACATTTTTTGGACAGTTCAAAAAGCTAAAGTTTTATTAAGTTATTCATGCATTTAATTTCCACCCTTTTTAAGTTGGTTTAATGTACGCATCTTCAAGCTGTATATGTGAACTGTGTCTAGTATTCAGGACTATGCTACGGCAACTCCCAGCAATTAACAGAAGCTTTTTTAGATTTGGCTGCATTGTTACATTCAGGTGCCGTAAGATTACCAAAAACAGCAATTTCTCTGACCAAATTATTTTTTATGGGCACTGCCCCCAATACATACACACAAACAGACACACACCCAAGCCATAACTGTGCCAAACAGTTCCCTTCCAATTAGTTTCACATTCTGCAGGAGATAATACCCACAAAGTGTCAACATACACATTCTTTCCTCTTTTCCCAGAGTTCAACAGTCCCACAGTGCGTTATGTACAAGGTTCTGTATGTGGGCGTATGAAACCTTATATGAACCAAAAATAGTTTGACATAAGTAACCCGCAAGCTCTCCACAAAACCTTTGCTCCCACCGACTTGCGTTATTTACAGTCTGCATTTACTATAATCTGAGAACAGTATGCCATGCATTCCTGTTTAATTCCTTACAACTATATTGCAGGTTGAAGTAAAATGTGTGTGGATCTGTGTGTATGTGTGTGTGTTGGACTTACCCAGTATGAGTGCAAGCAGCAGAGCAGCACAAAGACACACACACATGGCCAGGGCTATCCTGTAGAGACGACTGTTGCCCCTCTCGGGTTTAACCCCCCCACCACTCAAACGCTCCACTTCCATAACTTACTTTTTGATATCACACACACACATTAAAACACACACTCACGCATTCTCTGAACATAGGGGAAACACTAAAAAAGAGAAATGGATGAAAACCAGAAAGCAAAAATATCTGGCCAAAAAAGTGAATGGAGAAAAATGAAATCCAAAGTTATATTAACATCTTGCTAAAATGACACACTTTCTCTATGTAGTCTGGTGTCTTTCCAAATGTACCAGCAGACTTCATTAGTTTTCCGAGTCTTTCTCTCTGCTGCTATCTGTCTATCTGTAACTACTCTAACTTCACCCCAGCTTTTCAAACTGTCCCTCCCTTCATCACTCCTCCTCTCCCCTGACACTCCTCCCATCCCTACCGTCATCTAGAACAGAGACCAGACTCCTCAGTGATGACCAGATATCAATTAATAAAACAGTTAACTTAGACCAGAACACTATCTGTGTGTGTTACTGTGTTGAATTAGAGGCTGTAGACCTTGTTAAAAGCCTACGTGTACAACATTTATCAGATAAGTCAGTCGACCAGAGCAATATTTGACTCACACACACATACAGGACACTGATTAGCGATTACAATCAATTAATCCGATGACATGGCCGCATGTAAAAACCCATCAGTGTTTTTTTTCTCAAAAAGAATCAGTAGTTTCTTTGAATAGATAGACAGTGACGGTGATGACAGTGACACCAAAGCTCCTGATTGGTCCTGTAACCTCCCCTGCTGTGGTGAGAAACTTTTTTGCACGTGCTCATTAGGGTTTGGGGCCCTCGGCCACAAAGTCCTTATATAGACATGACTTCCTGCACTACTTTAAACACCCATTCATCAAGCAGACACTTCCACCACGATGCTATTGTTCACCATTGTGACTCCTAATCACTTGTGTCCTATTCTTATTGTTTAACATCTTAATTGGGACCCTTTGCTCTAGTTTTGATTGTCTCCATCAGTCAGTCGGTCCCACACTTTGGTAAAGACTGTAATATCTTATCGGATTTCCTTGACATTTTGTACATATAAAACACAAAATGTAAGGACATTTGTGTTTGTTAGAGGTCTTGTTTCATCAGACTTCAATCATCCAATCCACCAAACAAGAGTCAACAGCAAAAAGCTGTTTGGCTTTAGCAGAGATTTTACAATTTTTTCATGGGCACACCCCACATACTCAGCTCTGCTGCTCATCCCACACATGCTTGTTCCTCACCAATGTGGCACTATTGGAAAGGTAAGAAAACAGGCTTTCCAACGGTATAAGATGTATTGCCAAGAAGCATTGTTACAACAAATAAATAATCTACCAAACACAAATGTCCTTACTTTTTGTGTTAAGTTTATTACCATCAAAAGATAAATATAGGGAGGGATGAAACCCTCTTTAATGGTCACACATGCAGAGCACACAGCACACACAGTGAAATTTGGCCTCTGCTTTTAACCCATCCTAGTACAAGGAGTCTAGTACTAGGAGCAGTGGGCAGCTATTGTACAGCGCCCGGGGAGCAATGGGAGTGAGGGGGGAAGGGGGGTGTCCGGTGCCTTGCTCAAGGGCACCACGGCAGGGCAGGAGGTGAACTGGGACCTCTCCAAGTAGAAGTCCACACTCCATATTTAGGTCTGGTCGGGGACTTGAACCAGCGACCCTACAGCTCCCAGTCCAAGCCCCTACTGACTGAGCCACTGCCGGACTGCTAATGCCACTTAATGTAGTCATCCTCTGACTTTTCCTCTAATCAGGTTAAAGTAACACTTATTAAGTGAAATACCTCAATATCTAACAAAAAAAAAGATGAACATGATAAACATTACAACTGCCTATATATCTTATCTGAACACAAACATACACACACGAAAGGCGCCAACTCCTGCATGCAACATCCTCCCACCAGCGTCCGTAATTATTCAAAGATAAAGTCTCTAAAGTGGCCACGATTTTGAACCTGCTGACAGAGGTGTCTGCTGATCGTTGGTAAAAACACCTCCGTGGCTAAGCTGAAGGCCGTTCAGTGTTTATGTCTGTAGGAAACACCCTTCAAAATTATAATGTGTCATCTAACGCTCACAAACTCAGGAGATAATAGGTAATAATCTCCCTGAATATGCGACAGAAGAACTGCGGCCTGGAGCTGTTACTAAAAGTGTAGCATGTGTACTTTGTAATGAAATTAGCTATACCCAATTATATTTTCATATAGTGCCTTCAATTGTTGCACCCTCAGGGTGTCAAGTTTCTAAATATACTACATAGCGTTTTCCAAAATCCTGCAATCTAGAGAAGTAAAAGGATAAATGGATTGAATTACAACACTCTAAAATGACTTAAATAAAAGCAGCCTTTTATTCCACAATTGTGACAAATCATATTCAAATTCATTTTCGTCAAAGCCAGAGGGACAGAGCACATTTTTTTTTTTTCAAAATGGGATTTGAAACATGTTGGATATCACAAAACATTGTTGCAGTTACACACCTGTGAGGAGCTAAATGAATTGAAATACTGTCAGATGAATAATAGGTAGTACATTATGTCCACTAATGATGTGTAATAGACATTCAAACCGCCATGCATTTGCCAATAAGTGTAAGGCTTTTTTAAACTATACCCTTGTTCTTGCTTCTCTCTTCATGGACACATCTCTGCAGCACGTTGAGGTCAGTGAGTTAAGAGGAACGTATGGCATTTTGGAATCAAACCTTTTCATAACCAAGACAGTTTTCTCCTCATAATTCAAAGACAACACAGATATTAACATTTGGAAAGATTGTGCAGTGTTTGTAAACGGTCACATCGGACAGTGCTTTACGGCAAATGTATTCTTTATTTGTATATATGTGCTTTATGAGTATATGGTGGCAAAAAGGTGAAAAAAAGTTGGTTATTGTTTTCCCTGTTGGTCCAGTAAAGCAGATGCTCTGCTCAACAGTGTCCTGAAATTGGGCAGCACTGCTGGGTAATGCAGTCTGTTCACAGTTTAATGGTCCACACGTGTCAAAAACATCATGAGAGAACAACTCAGTCCACATGGGGATTCATTCATTTAGTTTTTTGCCTTCCAGTGCGACTCACCACTGTGGCTACCGTGCAGTGACCATCCACAGGCCCAGTGCCACGTTGGCTGCTAGCAGGGCGCTGCCTGCCAGCAGAAGGAAGAAACCAATCAGCTCGCGCCTTTGACGGTCCGTTACCACAGTAACCAGCGTGGCCTCCAGCAGTGCATTCAGCATCCACTGACCGTCGAGAGCAAAGCACGGAACGGAGTTTACGACTGCTAACGCTCCAGAGAGGGACACTACGTATCTGAGAGGCAAGAGGGTTAAGGACAATATTACAGTATTATGTTTGTAACCTTGGAAACGCACATCACAGGCACACAAAACTAATATTTCCTCAAGGTCTTTTAGGTCAATAATTTCACATCATTTTCATTAGAGGATGAAGTATGCATATGTGGTTTTGTTGAGATCATAATATCATTGTAGGACTTAAAAACACACAAAATGTACCTTTTGTGAGATTGTTTACCACTGATGTTAAAGTCAATGCTTTCTTTCATGCATACACTTTGCTGAGTCACAGGGTGTTTCTAGAAATATCTTAAAAAGGAAGAAAAACACAAGCAGCATCTCAAGCCATTGTTACCATTTATTATATTTCTTTAAAATTATATAATAATAATATTCTAGAATGGTATAATTCTAGAAAGTAATGTTTAAGTTCTAGAATGTTACCATTTAAAAATACTTGTAAATGTTAAGATTATACAACTAGAATATTAAAATGATGAAATAATACAATACTTAAAATTAAAACGATTTAGTTTAAGTATCTACAATGTTACATTACCGTATATAATTATTAAGTGTTACAATATTGGAATGTAATGTTTAAGTTATGAAACGCTATCATTTAACATATTAACTTAAGAATCTACCATATAACAATTGTAGAATGTTCCAATTTTAGAATATTGAGATTATACTACGACAATGTTAAAGTTCTAAAATACAATTCTAGAATGTTAATACTAAATTCTACAATATTAACATTGAAAAATATTTGGTTAAAGAACTACAATGTGACAGTTCTAGAATGTTAAGCTAAAGTACAAGAATATTACCATTACAATATTTGCTAAAATTCTAAAATATTACAATTCTAGAATGTTATAATTCTAGAATGTTGAATTTAGGGTCAGGAATGTAACTATTAGAATATTTGTTAATATTCTACAATTTGACAATTCTGGAATGTTAATACTTACATTGGTGTGTACACATTTTAATTATGACATAATACAGGTCTAGAATTATACAATTCTAGAATGTTAATTTTAAGTTAAAGAATGTTACTATTTAAAATATAAATGTAGGATTCTAGAAAGTTACAGTTCTAGAATGTTAACATTAATATAAAAATAATACAGTTCTAGTATGTTACAATTTTAGAATGCAAAAGTTTCTAATATGTTAATATTTCGAATATTTAGTTAAAAATATACAATGTTATACAATTCAATAATGTTAAGTTTAGGTTATAGCATGATACCATTGAAAATATTTAGTAAAAATTGTACATTTTACAATTTTAGAATGTTAAGACTGTATTTCTAGAATGTAACAACTGTAAAATAATTAAAATAATACAGACAGAATATTACAATTTGAACTTCCAAGCTTCCTATATGTCCATAGACAATGAGCTTGTTTACAGAAAACTGTAGCAGATGTGAGCCATTAAAGCAAGACTGTGACATTTAAAGAACAAATCACTAACGTCACCTCCTTATACTTAGGGGTTTTGCTGCTATAGCCTTATTTGGTTTTGTGTGACCAGTAGCTTATGTTAGATAACTTAAGATCTTAATTTGGTGTTTTTGAATCCGCATTCCATCAAGACACAATGAAAGAGTGCATTATAAAAACAGTAGTAACTGACACACACACAATGTTATAAGAATTGTCCAGAGCTTTGCAATAAGGTTTACGGTCATGTGTAGCAGTCATTAGGTCTATATAAAAATCATTAGATGTCAAAAACTGTGAACTTTTATTTACAATAAAGCGCAATGCTCTATACAAATTGATGAATAAAATGCTTCATGCTTTAGACAGAATAGACAGTTAAGCAAACCAACACCTTATATAGCCATAATCTCACTTCAGCCCATCTATCCTTAAATCAGAAAAGGATACTTGCAGAAGGTCTCCAAGAAGACAGGCAGATCCAGGTGGAGGAAACCAAAC